TAGAAATTTCTGTGCTTTCTTCCAAGAAAACTCATAGAAAAGAATTCTCTACTGTCAACTCAAGGGATAACTATCTTTATCTTGTAAACAGAGTCTTGTAAACAGATAGAGAAATCACATCTCTTTATCTTCCAAGAAAATATTTAGCCAATGGCAGAGCGAATGTCACTATGAACATAAAATAAGAGAGTGACTCAAGGCCGCATGTAACACTATAATTCTCACCATTATCCCCATATGACACCTTTTTCATAGGAACACACTCAATAAACCAACCGCCCCTCTTCTGAAAACCTACCTCATGCCTTTCTTTTGTCTATACCCTTAAAGAATAAATTTTCCTTCAACATTTCTATCCAATAGTTCCAAAGCATGATGTGTCCCTGTGTATTATAATTACTCTGACATTAGAAATAAACACCATGTCTAAAACAAGGCAAGTTTTGATTTACGGCACAGTAGTCTAAGCCAAACTGACCCAGAAAAGTAAATAGGCTTTTCATTATAAAAGTGTATGTCCAGAAACTGACAGCTGAGAACAAGCCTGTTCAGTGCATTTGTAAGCACACCTACGAAGTGACTTTTGTTAGGATGAATGCTAAGTCAAATCCAGCAAGTGATGCCAGTGCACAGACTAGAGACAGACACACCGCAGAGAACAAAGAGTAGAGGCCACATAATCAGCTTTTTCATGGATGCAGTAACCCACCATACTTTGCTAATTTCTCATTTGCAGACTCTCTATTTCAGCATAAATCCTATTCCACATGACCCCTGAACAAATGCTTGATCGTTCTAGGTGTTTCCATGCTGAAAACTCAACAGGTATGACAGCATTTTCTTAGTTTGGAGACTCTTTTTTTTTTTTTTTAAACCTTCCTTGTCTGCTTCCACACCTGGCTAACCCCCTCTTTGTGAGAATTGAATGCTTCCTGAGTGACAGCATGGATCATTTCATTCATTCTCCTCATAATAATCATGTGACCTGCACAGGAAAGCTAGATATGACAGCTTCATTTTTACATTAAAAAGAACTAGATTAGAATATGACAACACCCCCCGGCCCCCGCCAAAGTCTCCCAGCTAGTAAGCGGGTGTTCTGGAGCCCAGTGTACTTGAGAATGATGCTGATGAGAATAACAGACTGAGGCGATTATTAGCATAACCCTGGGGATGAAACACAGAGAGAAAAAAGCCAAGCTCTTCCTTTGCTGAGATCTGGATCACTAAGCCTGTGATCTCTATGTAAACTGGCTTCATGGGAAGGAAGGAGCTCCTATGAGATATGGCTAACACCTTCAGATGAAAGGAGCCTCAGGAGCCTGCACTCCCTGAGAAACAAGAATTCTTTCACTGAAAGAACTTTCCGACCTGCTTATTCTAGAAAGTCATGCTGGGTCTCCATTCACTATGGAAAACGCTGCCTGTGTGCAGTCCCCGCCAGGGATGGCACACTGCACTTCCTGCTCAGGCAGGACACAGGGCTCCAGATACACTAGACTCAGGTGCCTTTTAGACTCTGCTTAGCCAGCTTGGCCCAGTGATTCAGCCACCATGTCAGCAGGAACCTACTGCGGCCCTGCCATCTCTTCCGCCGTCCCGCAAAGGCCAGCGAGAAAAATGGAACTGATGGGATAACGAAGTTCTAGAGAGTTCACTAGTGTCCCTCCAGGGATGCTCGGGACAGCTTTAGGATGAAGGGATGCAGCACCCAAAGAAATAAATCAAGTCTAATTACAGGAAAAGAACTGGAAGTGATTTTTCCCAATATACCAAAGAGCCCTGGGTGGTGGCACAGGCCTGTAATATCTCAGCACTTCAGAGGCTGAGGCAGGAGGATGCTGTGTTTGAAGCCAATCTGGGCTACTGAGTGAAACTATGGGCTCAGAAGAAGAAGTAAAAGTAAGCCGGGCGGTGGTGGCGCACGCCTTTAATCCCAGCACTTGGGAGGCAGAGCCAGGCGGATCTCTGTGAGTTCGAGGCCAGCCTGGGCTACCAAGTGAGCTCCAGGAAAGGCGCAAAGCTACGCAGAGAAACCCTGTCTCAAAAAAAAAAAAAAAAAAACAAGTAAAAGTAAAAGTGGACATAATGGCCAGGTACAGTATTTGCAAAGATAATTTAGCTTGTAGGCTCTGAGACACAAGCAGGAGCTCATGAATATTACCACAAGAGGTGGAGCCCCCTGTGAGAGAAGAGAGGAACATTGTTCCAGTATTTATAGACTTTCATCTGGTGGAATATAAAGTCCAGTACCCAGTGGTGAGCAAAACCAGATTGTCAAACCAGGTAACAATGCACATCAGTGCAGTTCTTACCACCCCCGCCCCGGTTCCCAAACCGTGAGACGGCTAAGGAAGAAGAGCCCAGCTTCCGCATAGTAGTCTCACCCAGAGCTGTGCACCCAGGCCACACCAAGAGCCTACGGAAATAAAACAGAGCGCAGTAAAAATAGAAGCACTAAGTAAATGATTACGGGACTTCGCACCTAAGTCTTGGGGAAGCACCTGTGAGCAAGGGATCTCCAGGAAAACGGCACAGAGCCATTCTCCATCTGGCGTGGCTCACCTCCTCTTCACAGCCAGAGCCCAGACATACTGCTGCTATTACCAACTTCAAACTACAAGGCTTCCTACAGAATTGGACAGGGAGGACGAAGCAAATTCTTTTAAAATTAAAAAGGTCACATGTTGTCTTTAGATTATTTAAAACACTGCTGGTCTCTTACCAAATTCTGACTTACAACAATCACACCTGGAAACATCCAACTCACATGGTAATGATACAAACTGGCACACTCTTGATGTCATAATCCTTTCATCTGGGGCTTCCTTTTTCATACACAGAAACTTTTTTCATCACGGAATATAGCCAAGAAGACGGAGCTAGGGACCACCTATCATGTGGCATGAAAGCAGGGAAGGGGGAGTGCTGTTTGTTGGGGGGAAGGAGACCCATGAACAGGGATGAGGGAAGGCAGTGTGGAGAAGGATGCAAACAAGGTATAATGATATATACATATTAAAATGCCATAATGAAACCAGTTACTATGTATCCTAACTCGAAATTATTTAAAACAGAAAAGGAAGAGATTTTCCAAAGACTACCAACTCCAGAAGAATAAAGACTTTAATCCTCACAATCAAACGCGTTCAGATCCTCAAAGTATTTAAAGATCTAATCCATGTCTTGACCCAGAAAGCATATGTCAATCACTTGGAAAAATGGGATGGGAGCGAAACTGCTACGTGCCAATGGGAAACTAATGACCAGTGTAAATAAATCCCTAGTAATTCTAGGTGCCTAGAACAGCCCCAACAGGAGCCTGACAGCCAAAGGGTTGGGTCATCAGCATTTATGAAGATCAATTAATGCTCTATATTTTCAGATGTCACATTTCTCATAAGATTTGCTATAATCCTCTTTTAAATATCCCCATCATACAAATCAAGAAATTCAGAGACAAAGGGACTTAATGGAGTTTCTATTGCTTAAGAGACTCAGAACTTGCACTGTGAGGCCTCACCTAACTTACAGTCTACAACTGCATCCATTGTTATGAGCGGCTGCCATTTGAATGTATAATTATTATGTGTCCAGCTCTAAGCAATCTACAAACATTTTCCATTTAATCGGACCACCGCCTCCTAAGGGCCAATGTCTCCACTCTGCAGCTGACGATCCTAAAGTCAGAGGAGCTGAGTAACTTGACAGATCATCCGAGAGCAAGGGGAAAGTCGGCACCTGACTCACGCGACACGTGACCCCACAGTCCAAGGTGCATTTCCTTATCAGCCTCTTCTATTTACCGATCACACCATAACTGGGCAGATTCCAAAGGCTGGGCTGTGACAGCCACTGCCACCTTCTGTCTTACCAGTGGACATCAGGCCCTGTCAACAGTCGTACCTGCTGGACATGAAACACTGTAAAAACGGATTAACCAATTACTTTAATTACTGTCCAGTTCTTTGACAGTCTTCTCCAATAATGACAAATTTTAGATTATCTTGGGGTTTAAGGCAGTTTTCAATACACTAATAAGTTTCCAAGATGCTCAGAAGTATCCATTTATTCCACAGTGCTTAAACGGCTAGCTCTGCCCAGTCATTGATAAAATAGAAAACACAACAACCTATCTCCCGGGGCTTCAGTATAGGATTTAAGGAAGGTCATGTATGAGCTTAGCTTCAATGCATATAATTGCTCAAAACTGTTAAAATCACACAGCATTGCTTTGGAATTGGATCTAAAAAGTAAGAAGGTCCTTTTAGGTTCACTGAGAATAAAATAATAAACACCCCAGGGAATAAATTCTAATTGTGTTATGCTAAATTAAATCCAGCCCTGGAAACCAGCTCCAAAAGTTAGGGCAGATCTGATATGATACCTGATTTCCAAACGAAACGGATGCCCCTCCCACCTTTTTCCTAAAAAGAACCAAAAAAATTACAAAGTATCTCTCAATGTGGTTTAAGAAAGAGCTTCGGGAATTAATTAATGGTAAAAGAGAAGGCACAGATACAGCATAGTCAAACCGGGAATAGGAGAAACATGGTAACTCACTAAAAATAACTCCATCACAAAAATCAAGAGGAAGCTGTACTGAGGTGAAATGTCTAGTTAGCTCGGGATGGAAATTTCCACAAACCAAAAGAGGAAGACTCTAGCAGAAGACATGCCTGTTCAGAAGGCACCTCTCTCCTCCACGCCACTTCAAAGGAAGGAAGCGGAACTGCTGAGGAGGCTGAGCTACACTGACAGACAGGTCTCTTTCATTGAACAAAGGAAGGAAGAAAAGGTTTCTGTTGTATGACAGAACTTCTCCTGGGGAGACACAACCCATAGGTCTACATACCCTAGACAGGGATCCCACAACAGACCAAAGTACGGATACCACCAGAGTTCTGCGTGGTGGTGAACCAGTGAGTTTTCCTGGGGTTACTTACAGGAGTGTGGTGGAGGGGTCACTTACAGGGGCAGAAATGACTCAAATGACTCACCAAGGCCCACCCCAGCATGGATGACAGCTCACGACGCTGGGAAACCTGAAGCACACTGCACAGCCTGTGGGCAGCTCGACAGGTCGAAAAGTGTCCCTTCCAAGTGACAGGTCTAACTCTGACAGGCAGCTCTGTTGGTCTCTGGTCCCAGCTTGGCTTATCTGAGAGTCGTCTTCTGCTTAGCTGGTCTGAGTCGTCTTTGCAGCTTTTATTGCTGACTCTAGCAGGGAGGAGCCGAGTGAATCTGGTCAGTTTCAGGGACTTCCAGGAGCTATTTATACCTTCCTGTTTAAAGAGCTTCCCTGGAGGATGGAAGGTTTCAGTCTCAGTTTCTTAGTCATGTTTACCAGAGTTAAGAGTCATTGCTGAATGCATAACTTAAGGGTCCCTTTAAGTGACACACTCTTCACAATCCCCGCTCCCCACGTTATCCTGTCTACACACACACACACACACACACACACACACACACACACACACACAATTACAGTTTTCGCGTTGTAGCCTTGCAAGTATTAGAAACATTTCTCCTACTGCCTTGTATACAGAAGCAAGTATAATTTCTTAGTAAGTTTCTTTGAAGGAAACTTACTTTCCTCAAGGCAAGTATGTAGACAAATTCTTTAATTAAACAAACAAAGTAAGTGGAAGTGTTTTCTGATGCTCCTGATTTTGAAGCAAGTTTTCCAAAGCCATCAATATCTACTGTGGAGGAATCAGAAATCACTTCCTATTACTCTATCCCTCACAAATCATTCTAAAAATCCATCTTAGTGTCCTCAAAAGACTCAGCCCCACCAGAACTGGGGGAGCAGAACCAGGAAACATGTCTAATATGATTCCTCAAGTCATGGTATCTGGAAAAACCAACTGACTACCAAATGAGCGAACTCTTAATTTCCTTTTTTTTTTTTTTTTCCTAAACCAACCACAAGAAAGACAAACCCTTAAGGGATCATTAGATTCCATTTTTATGCTACTTTTCTTTGCATCATAACCTTAACTGCCCTTGTAACTCTGAACACATAAAATGATGCCCCATTACAAACGCTGAATGACCTGTCTCTGCTCACAAACTGTCGCACTGATCTCAAGTAGTTTACAAATCTTATTAACAGTTTCTATTACAACTAAATCACAGAATGTAATCCTGCCTTCCTGGGTATAATACATATAGCAGAGAGTAGGTTTAGGAAGAGAGGAAGGAAGGAAGGGAAGAAAGAAGGGAGGAAGGAAGGGAGAGAGAGAGGGAGGGAGGGAGGGAGGAAAAGGAAAAGAAAAGCTTTTCTGGGGGAATGTGATAATCAGGTCCAACAGTGCTTTAGAGTCTGGGCAGCCCTGGAGTAAGGTCCAGCTCATCACACACACCATCCCACGCAACCCTAGCACCCTCATTAGTGTTGATGCAGAAACCAGGGCCTCCAGAGATGAGGCAAACCTGTTTGTACTGGTTCTTCTCCTCAGTGCTGTGACGCTATCTGGTGGGAACAACTTAGGGCAGGAATGCATCATGACGGGGAAAGCATGGCGACAGAAGGTCAGCCCACGGCAACAAGAGCATGAAACTGTTGATGGACGGGAAAGCAGAGAATGGGACCATAAGTGAGACCAGGCTACGGCCTGTACAGGGAGCCTCTAATGGCCCATCTGCACGCTGGGCCCAGTCTCCACAGCTTCCATGATCTTCTCTAACAGAACCACCACAACCCTGCTCAAGATCAGAGAGTTAACCAGTGTCTGAACCAGGATTCAAGCCAGACTGATGTGCAGAAACAAGCCAGGGCAGAAAAATAACATTCTTGATGATGTCGTGATTGCAACCCAAAGACTGACTAGCCTCTGTCATCTGACTGTTTGGGGTGGTTTGGTTTTTTTTTTTTTTTTTTTTTTTTTGGTCAGTGCTGAGATCTTTGTCACATTTAAGGTGATTAGGTTCTCGTGCCTCTCTTACTGTTTCAGAAACCTTTGCAAAGGAACTAAGGCACTACAGTTTGGGTCTGGAATGGCCTCCCAAACACCTACATTTTAAAGGATTAATTCCAGCTTGGCGCTACAGGGAGGTGGTAGATACTTTAGGAGGTGGGGCCTAGGTGAAGGTTTTAAGGTATTTATGCCTTGAAAGGGATTGTGGGATCACAGCTCCTTCCTCTTTTTATCTCTCCCATGAGTCATGAGGAGAATGAGCCTTGTTTACCATGTGCTCTTGCCGGTTAGAACTGCTTACCGCAAGCAACAGTGATCATCAACAGTGGACTGAAACCTCCCAGACTCTGGGCCAAAATAACTCTCTTCATACGTTGACCGTTGTGGTTTTTTATAGCACGAAGGTATTCAAGAACACAGCACAGTCCCTATCCTCAAGGGGTGCACCACCTAATACGGGGTGCATCTCATCAGCAGTGCTTCCAACCAGAGGGCCACCAACCAGAGGGCCACCAGGAGATGTGCAGACGTACCACCCTCTGCAACTTGTACCCTAGTCCTGGAGGCCAATCCGTGCCTGGCCTTGAGCAATCTTGCCCACTCACTCAATACATCTTGCCAGGATAACTGCTCTCTCTCTGTGTGCTGTGAGGTGAACACCAGAAGCGTTACACATGCAGAGGGACCCATCTGCCCTTCCAATACCATGTCAATCGAAAAGAGAAAGGCAGGGGCTTCCCTGGGCGACGACAGAAACCCCGAGACCACTTCCAGCTCTTGAACTCACAGCACAAGGGGAAAATAAAACTGGCCTCTCCGTGTGGCGCCCCCCCCCCCCCCCC